GTAGTAGTAGTAGTAGTAGTAGTAGTAGTAGTAGTAGTAGTAGTAGTAGTAGTAGTAGTAGTAGTAGTAGTAGTAGTAGTAGTAGTAGTAGTAGTAGTAGTAGTAGTAGTAGTAGTAGTAGTAGTAGTAGTAGTAGTAGTAGTAGTAGTAGTAGTAGTAGTGTAGTAGTGGTAGACTAGCAGTAGTAGTAGCAGTAGTCGTGGTAGTTGTAGAAGTAGTAGTAATAGGTGATTCAAGCAGAGGCCCGCAATACGATCCAAGAGGCTCCCAAGAAGACTCCAGCATGCCCCAAGACAACCCCGACCGGCGCCCCGTAGTCATTTGGGCGCAAGTCCACAGCTGTTTTGGCCCCAGCTGGAGATCCCAGTGGAAGACACCCCTCGGCCCCCGCGGCTCCAGAAAGAGAGAGAGCGCGCGATGCCGGCGCGGACCCGCAGCGCCTTGCCGCTTGTCGGAGCCGCCGCGGTCGGCGGCGGTTCTCTCCTCAGCCTCGGCGGCCGCTGCTTCTCGCTGGCGGCGCAGCAGCCTGCGCGGCAGGGCGCGCTGCGCGCCGCTGCTGGCGGCAGCGGCCCGGCGCACGCCGAGGCGCCGGCGGAGCAGCCCCTGTCGGGCCTGCTGCTCGCCACGCCCGCGCTGTGCGGAGTGGCGCTGCTGGCGTCCCGCAGGCGCACCGCGGGGCTGCAGCGGTCGGCGGAGGGTCTCGCGGTGCAGGAGAAGCCGCTCGCGAAGGCCCCCTTCGAGATGGTGTCGACGCCGAAGGAGACGTACGAGGCATTGGTTGCCAAGGGCACAGCCAACGCCGGCATGCCACTCCTGAAGCTGATGCACAGTTCGATCATGGGCGGCGCGTACGTGGGCATGGCGGGCCTGCTGTCCCTTACCATCGCCGGCAACCTGAGCCCCGACGTGGCCATGGGCGTGCAGAAGATGGTGTTTGCCGCCCTCTTCCCCGTGAACCTGTTGCTCGTCCTCCAGTCGGGTTGCCAGCTTTACACGGGCAACACCGCCACTGTGTCCGCTGCTTTCTTGGAGGGAAAGGTGAAGGTCCGCGCCGTGCTCAGGAGCTTCTTCCTTTCTTGGGTCGGGAACGTCATCGGTTGTGGGGCGCTCGCAGTTGCCGCCTGGTACACCGGCCTGCTGAGCGGTGGCACTGGAGAAATGGCCGCTGCGACAGTTGCCAAGAAGGTCAGCGGCACTCTGGGTCAGAAGTTCGTGAAGGCGATCCTGTGCAACTGGCTGGTCTGCATGGCGGTCTTCCTGTGCACCCAGGCAAAGGACATGACGGGCAAGATGGTGGGCATTTGGTTCCCCATCTCCATGTTCGTTGGCATCGGCTTCGAGCACTCCGTGGCCAACATGTTCCTGCTGCCTGCAGGCCTGCTCGCCGGCGCGCCCATGACGTACGCGCAGACCTTCTGGCAGAACCTCATCCCGGTGACCTTCGGTAACCTCGTCGCCGGGGCCGTCATTATCGCCGGCGGCTTCTATTTCCAGTTCGGCAGCAAGAAGTGAGTGGCTCATTTTTCGATCGTGCTTGCGCTGGCTATCGGCATTCAACCGCCATCATCGTGTGAGATCCGCATGGCTCTCTTCTGTCGTGAGTTGATCAAGCGAAGAAGCGAGGCGTTGCACTATTTGGATAGAATTAATATTGCGGAGCTCAGCTCGCACTCGCTACTACGGATGTTGTTTTGTAGCAGTTTTCCTTCAACAAGCGTTCATCGTGACGCATGCAGTTTGATTCTCCTTCACATCTCGCGGAATGAACATTCAGCTCAAGCGTTAGTTTCATCATTGCAGTTGGCCACGCGTTCAAACAGCTTCTGCCGGTAGCTGCCAACAAGCAGTTTCTACCTTTCTAGTCCAGCTCGAGCTTTCGCGCTTTCGCACACAGCTTGTACCTCAGTCTGGCGAATAAGGCAGGGTCCAAAAAAAGACAACCCCGCGCAGCGCCAGGCAGTCACAGGGTAGCCCGATAGGGTCACCAGGACCCTCTCCTGCTTCAACATCCTCCAATTGCCTCTTACTGTCCTCCGTCGTCGTCGTCGTCGTCGTCATCGTCCTCCGCATTCCTCCTCGTACTTGCTCTCGTTATCTTCGTCTTTGTCCTTGTGCTTCTCTTCCTCCTCGTTGTCCGCATGCTCCCTCTCGCTATCCTCACGTTCTTCACGTCGTCCTCGTCATCGCCTTCTCGTCGCCCTCGCCTTCCTTTTCTTCTTCTCCCCCCAATACGCCCATTGGACTGAAGCGGCGCTTCCCGTTCTTACCCGATCAGGTTTGTAATTTCGGGACACCGATCTGGAGGAGGTCCAAAACCAGAAACGCATTTGGGAATCCACCGCCTCTCTACCCTTGCTGGGGACTGCTAACAACAATTCGCGCGACGCTAAGGCGAGAGCCGGAGTTTGGAAATTACCAGCCACCCATAATTTGAAATTGCTCTAACTCTGCCAAAGCATGCGGGTGGCGTCAAAACACGGGCTGCATTCGGGAGAACATGGTCAGCTTCAGGGAAGTATGTTGCCCCCCCTCCCCGACGACGAAGACGACGACCGACGACACTCGACCATTCCCTGCTCACCCAATCTGCTTTCTGCGGTCATCCGTCGCGCCCTGTTGAGCCCGTCCTTCCTTCTCCTTATCTCTCTTTTCCCTCTCTTTCCTTCCCCTCCTCGTCCTGGTCCTCCTGGTCGTCGCCGTCAGTGTCTTCATCCGTAGCCAGTTTTTGGCTGAAACAGATTGCCCCGAGGGTGCATTGCCACGCGCGCGCGCGCCGCAGTACTTCGGCGCGCCCTGACCGTGGAGCAGCAGGTGCACTTCGGGTTCTCGCACCAACATGCTGACGAAGGCAGACAGCAGGTGCTTCAAAGACGAGCGGATGTCGGGGGAGGTGGACGAGCTCGTTGGATGGACCACCGAAGATTTCGAGGTCGCGATGCGAGAGGCAGCTGCGCGGGAGGAGTGCGCCACTGTCGGCGAGGCTGGTGGGAAGGCCACGGCGGCGGCATCCTGCAAGCTCTTCGTGGGCGGCCTCTCGGCTCAGACGAGCACGGAGGCCCTCCGCGCGCACTTCTCGAAGTACGGCTGGCTAGTCGACGCGGTGGCCATGTCGAAGGCCGGGCGCCCGCGAGGGTTCGGCTTCGTGACGTACGACTCGCCCGGCCCTGCGGCCATGGCACTCGTGGAGCCGCAGTGGCTGGACGGCCGCCTCGTGGACGTGAAGCGCGCGGTGCCTGGCGAGCGGACCCCAGAGCGAGCATCGAGCAAGGTTTTCGTCGGCGGCTTGTCCCAGGACGTCACCACCGATGACCTCAGGGCCTACTTCGGCGCCTACAGCCCCGTGGCTGACGCGGTGGTGATGGTGGACCGGCGCACGAGCCGCTCCCGCGGCTTCGGCTTTGTCCGCTTCGGCAGTGGTGCCCAGGGTTCTGCCGCGGCGGAGGCGGTCCTCCTGGACTCCCCGAAGCACCGCCTCGCGGGCAAGTGGGTCGAGGTGAAGCGGGCCACGCCCGCCGCCGCTCTCCAGGAGCTGTCGCCCACGACAGCGTCCGACGGCGCCGGCAGCCCCGCGTCCCTGGCGATGATGGAGGCCTCGGCCGCCTACATGATGGACGTTCTCGCGTGGCCCGACGCCTTCGCCGGCGCCGGCTTCCCTAGCGGCGTGCAGGCCGCGTCGCCGTTGTGGGGCGCGGGCCGCGGACACACGCGTGGCCGCCGCGGCCGCCGCCGCAAGGGCAGGATGGGCGGGGACGCCGGCGATGGCAGCGACCGCGGCGAGGGCGAGCAGCAGATGATCTACTGCGACAGTCCCTGCGGCCACGGCTCTGCCAGCGGCTCGCCCTTCGGCAACTCGCTGTCAGGCCTCGACCTGCCCCCTGGGCTGCCTGTCAGCCCCGCGGCGGCGGTGGTCGCGGCAGGCCGAGCCTTCCAGGCTGCGTCCCTGGGGGCCCCGCTGGCGCCCCTCGGACTGGATCAGCTCTGCTTCGACATGAGCCCCGCCTCCATGGCAGGGCGCCTTGGCGTCATGGGCGGCGTGCACCAGACCAACGGCTTCGGTGACCTCGGCGGCCTCCGCGCCGCCGCGGCCAAGCTCTCGCAGGGCGACTCGGAGAACAACGCGAGCCGCGCCAACCGCGCCGCCACACCACCGCGTTGCCCCCATGGCAGCCCAGGGCCTAACGCCTCGCCCATGAAGGTGACCTGCAGCGACGACTTTTCTGGACTGCTCCCCGGACGGCGCTCGGGCAAGAATGTGACCACGCAAGGCCTGCCCTCGTGGCCGTGTGCACAGTGAGCCGCCGCATGCCGCGCTGCGGGAGCAGCAGCGTGTCCAGAAAGCCCTCGCTTCAGGACGGCGCCCCGCGCGCGAGCGCGCCGCGGCCCCAGGGGTTGCAGGCTGCGCTGCGCCAGTGCACAATCACCCTTCGGGAGTCCGAAAGCCTAGGCAGGTTGCACACTTTCAGAGTTCCACCCTGCGCTCATCAGCAGCGCTCATAGGCGTGTGGCGTAAGGGGGGCGGCCTCCGTAGAAAGCAGGAGGGCTTCGGGGAAAGCCGATTGCCCACTGGCAAGTACTATCGGAAGGCACCAGACCCTTCTAAGGAGCCCCCTGCCTTCTCAGAACGCTGCCTCCCTCTCCCCACCCCCTTGCGCGCGCCGCCACTTCAGGTGCAGCTGCTAATTATACGTTCAAGGTGCATTATATCCTGCGACGTGACGTGAGACTCAAGGGGGGGTCTCGGTCGCACGTCGCGTGCAGCGTGATGCTAGCAGCGGCAGTCGCGGTCCTGGTTGTGACAGCCGGGCCCTGCACGCGTGCGCGGGCATCTTTGAGCATTACTCTGCAATGCTTAATTAGTACGTAATCAGCGCTGGTGGCAAGCGGACCCTGTAGGGCTAGTGAAAAGGGCCGAAGCCGCCACCGCGTTGTTTTAGTAGGTGCGGCGTAGTGCCGCGCACGATGAGTGCCATTGGAAGAGGAGGCGCAGCAGGAAGAGAAAGACGGAGGTAGGATGGAGGAAAGAGTGAGCAGGCTCATGCTATGCCTTTGATGTGCGCTTCGTGCATGTGTTGTTCCTTGCACGGCGAAGCGGCAAGCGTATGCAATGGTTGCGCGCCTGTAGTTGCCCACGCAGTGGACTTTCTGGAGGAATGTGATTGGAGATGGTCACGGGAGATTGAGGGATGACGCCAGTCTTATACAGGCTTGTGCTGTAGTTGCGAGGTTCGCCTCGACGGTTGCGAGTCCTCGCCCTCCAGGGGAAGCTGGTGGCCATTTAGGACTAAGGATGCCCCTCTCCTCGCGCACGCGCGCCTTCTGGCCACGGCACGATTGGAACAGACATCGGAGCAGCCTTCATACCCGACGCCGTCTCTCTGCTCCGTCAGCTCGGGCCCCTTTGACCTGGGCTCAGGCGTGCGCTATATTAGCTCGCTCGGACGGCTGGGTTTCGCTGCGGCGAGGACGAGGGCGTGCCCAGATATTGTGGGTGCGGCGACGACCCCAGCGCGTGCTGTCAAGGCTGAGCGCCGCCAGTTGCCCAGAGTCGGTCCGATGTCGAACGAACAGCGCTATCGGAAAGCCAGGACCGCTCAAATTTGAACGACCCACGTGGTGCCGGATACCAGCGCACACGCGACCCGATTCGAATTTGCCGTCGGGGTGTTGGGAAGGTCGGAGGTGTCGACGACGTGGCCGCTCCTGGCTGCCGCCCTGCGCGCTCGCGGGAGGCGCAGCAGGCGGTCCTTCCGTCCAAATGAGGTTTCCGGCTGCTTGAAGCCTCTGCTGGAGGCTCCCGAGGGACCCCGCGGAGGTTTGCGGAGGCCCTCGGAGGCCAAAAGCGTCGCCAAAAACGTCGCCCAGAAGCTTACCTCTTCGATCCTCCTGAACGCCGAACGCTTGTGGCATCGGGGCTCGATCTGAAGGTTGCCATCCCTCGATCCTCCTCTCCTCCTCCTCCTCCTCCTCCTCCTCCTCCGCCGTCCGTAGCCATTTTGGCTCAAAATGCATTGTTGTTCAGGGCAACGAGTGGATACCTCTAGTCAGAGGCTAGACACCGCTGAATGTCGGCCTGTTCGCCCAGGTGTGGATCCAGAGACCACCAGGGTCGCTGGACGAGTTCACGCCTTTTCCCAAAGAGGGGATTCCTCGGCGATGGGAACAAAGTATGGGCAGCAGTTCGCCTGGTGCTCGTGCGGGAAATGGAACTGCAATTGGCGTATCATTCAGAACGACTACACCTGTGTTTTCTGCAAGGAGCAGGTCGACATCTACAAGCCTGGGGAGGATAAGAAGTCGGCCTAGCCAGGGTCTCGGGCGAAAATACTCTGGGCACGTGATCGCGACAAGATCGAAGGCACCACGTCTTCTCCAAAGGCCCTCCTCGAACAGCTGCCACCTGAGCTTCGAGGATCGGCCATTGCCCAGGCACTCCAACTCGAGATGGAGGCGTACGTCAAGCAGTGGCGACGCGTCCTGGCTCGCCTATAGCCTATAGCCCTACCAAACAATGTTATAAGAACGTTTTGTGGTTTCCACGAAATGTTCTTAGAACGTTTCGGGCGGAGTCTGTCTTGTTTTAATAAGTCGGGTTTATGTTCGAAGAACATTGATTTTGTTCTTAGAACATTTTGGGGCTCTAAATACATTTCGTGGTAGGATTGTAGGAATGCCGGGGCGGCCGGTCCCTGCTCAAGTACGAGAAGGCACAGAGAGACAAGAACACAATTAATCCGCAGTCGGCCAGGCAAAGGACGCTACGGTCCGACACGGAGTACGCACAGCAGACCAGGAAGCTTACCAGGCTGGCTGCCAAGCGTGCGGCGGCGCAGAAGCACCTGGACGACTGCGAGGAGGAGCTCAACGACCAGGCGATCCTGGTCCACATGGCCGAGAAAGAGCGCGACGCCGCTTACGCCGACCTACCACGCGCTCAGGGGCGCCGAGGCCCAATGGGGGGAATCCCAATCCCAACCTCACCTCGGATGGCCTCGCAGTTTTGTTTGCTTTCGGCGAATCGATGCTTGATGACATTGAGGAGTTCAAGGATGCAGCGAAACAGAGACTTCTCGGATTGGGGTGCACAGCTGCAGTCTCACCGCCAGGCCCTCTTGGAAGGCCAGAAGAAGTTCGAGTCACTCTTGGCGGACATCAAAAAGACGGTGGAGGTGCATGCGAACAAGAAAAGGAAAGCGGCATCTGGAGAAGCAGTACCACCACCAAGTGGAGGGGCAGAAGCAGCACACCCAGATGCCGACATGCTCAAGGAGGAAGCCGTTAAGTCAAAGGCCGACAAAGCCCTTGACGATGATGAACGACGCGAGGCAGCAGAGAAAGTCAAACAGGCAGCCAAAATACGCACAGGCAGCCGCAGCAGCAGGTACCAATTGCAGCTTCAAAGAGGCCAGGAGGAGTTTGGCCAAGAAGGGCGCCGACAGGACAAGTGCTGGCAGCAGTGGTGCTACTCCACCTCACGTTTGACACGAAGCCCCTCTTTGGTAGCATCACCCAGTGGGGCCCCGAGGCGGCCCTTTTACACTTACAAAGCCGAGGATATCTACAAGGTCATCGCACTCTCAGAAACTGATTTGGAAGAGGAGCGGATCCCGTTGGAAAGAAAATTCGTGCGCAAATATGGGTGGAAGTTATCCACCACTCCAACGTTTCCCAAGAACGCGGGCTATTCGGCTGGAGACTGGGTTCTGGCAAGGTCGCAAGTTGTTACTACTACCTCCGATGCAGTCAGGAAGGCCAGTCTGGACATCGGCAACAAAGGACCCGTTCCGTGGGCTTGCGCCGCTAATTTGGCACCTGTTGTCAGGAGGTGGATTGATCATATCCTCGTACCTTCTCCCTGGCATGGGCAGTGTGAGGAAAAGCGAGGACAGGATGAAGGCGTTTGCGGGTTTCTTGGAAATGGCCGCCGGCCCATGGATTATCGTGGCAGACTGGAGCCTGCCTCCACAAGAATTGGTCGATTCAGAATGGCCGATCAGGATGCACGGCGAGATCGCGATCCAAGATGTGGCCATCACGCGCGACAGAGGTGCAAAAGGAGGCTTATATGATTATGGCATGGTCAAAAAAGGTTCTCAGTCACGTGCATTGCCCCATGCTGTCGCGGATGTACCATGGGCTACACGGTGCCGCATTGAGGCTCGGCTCGAAGGGGTCCAACAAAAGTTGCGGCACCAATCTCTCGCTCTTGTGCCGAGTCTGCCAGATTGCCGCAAGCCCACGGCGCAAGCTGCCAGCAACAGCTCGAATAAGAAATAGCACGAGCATGAGCGGCGCGTCGCCTCCCCCCGGGCGCCGCTGCAGGACCCCATGATCGAGGTGATGGGGTGCCTGGGGCGGGGCGGGGAAGAAGAGGTGGCTAATTTTCACATGCAAAAGGAAGAATGGCAGATGGGATGGCAGGCTGCTAAGAGCATCATGCACGAAGGATTGGGTTTCTCGGGGTTCCCAGTTCCAGAAACTCAGATGTCGCTTCGCACTGAAGCCCAGAGGTCCATTGACATGGAGCACGGGTTGTGGGTCACTGCGCTGGAAGAAACCATCCTGCAACAAGAGAAGGAAAAACAGCGGATGTGCAGAGGCATCCGCAATGGGTTTGCAATCGGATGGAAGTCTTCAAAGTCGACGTCTGGCAGGGTTCACAGCCGGGCCCGATTTCTGAAAGCTGGAGCACCATGCGGACCCTAGTCGACAGGTTCAGGAAGTTTTTCGGTCTGCAGTTGGACCGGGGGCAACAGCGCACCCTGCTGGGGCGAATTAGATCGCTGAGCGGAGTCACATTGGCAGGCCCCTCTACTGGTTACTTTGGTAGATCAGGCGAGCTGGATCATCAGCGATGGCAGGGCATGATATTGCGCATTCGGCGAGTCTCTGAAACTACCTGGAAGCAGGTCTACGAGCAGGACCAAACTCAGCACGTGCAGTCAAACGGCAAGCAGAACAGCGCAGACAGTACAGTGGACCCAGGAGTGGCCAAGCGAATCAGCAGCATCCCGTTCTACCAGCGCCACCCGTACTTCAGCGTTGCCTTTGGGGCCTCTGCCGAGGACTTGCAGGTTATTCCATCGCAGCAGCAATATTTCAGCGAGGCGGTGATCAAGGAGGGCGCGCTGGACTCCTTCGAACAGGCGGGGGGCCCGACGGGCGCGGAGGATGGCAAGTCCCCCGCGGTGCGAGAGCCCGAGCTATCCGACGGCGCAGTGACGGATGCAGAGCACGGCCTCGCCGACATCCTGTCAGGCGACCGAGGGGGGAAGCCTGTCTCCTCTTCCCTCGGCGACGTTAGAACGCACGCCCCTGTCACTCCACGTTGTGGCAGGGCTCGGTCGCCTAGCGTTTTGCTGAGAACGCATGTCCCTGTCGCTCCGCGTCGTGGCAGGGCTCGTCTAACGTTTTGCTGGCGCTGGCGACGGGCTTGGAGGCCTCGGCTGGATGCGCGCAGTCGGACGTGGGGGCCGCTTTGCCCCCGGGCCCGCTGAGCGCCGCGAGCCTCCGGAGGTCCCCTCTGGAGCCATGGGCCGCTGCTGGCGCGAGGTGCGGAGAGCGCGCCGCTACTGGCGGGGCAGCGCGGGCGGGGGCCGACCGCCACAAAGGAGGTGCGCAACTGCCAGGGGGGGTAGGGGAGCAGCTCGCCGGGCACCCTACCCCCCCCCCCCCCCCCCGCAGAAGGAAGGGACAGCCGCGCGACCGCTCCATGGCAGAGGATGCGTCGGGCGGCCAGGTCCAGATGGCGAGTCATCATCAGTCAGAGAGCGAGGCTTCTTTCATTGTGGCGGGGCCCGCTGCTTCCACGCTCGATCTCCAGATGGGCCCTCTCGAGCAGCTAGAGGAGGCTCGCGAGGAGAGCGCGCAGGTCTCGGCCCACATCGACTGCGCGCGGCCCGGCGGGTTGTCCAGGCGACCCCCATGGGATCCCTGGATGAGCTGGAAGCTCTCGCCGACAAACTTCAGATGCGAGCCCAGGCATGGGCCATCAGCAAGGGAC